AAACAGCCAGATTTCAGGAACCCAGGCTGCTAATGTCCCTTTTTGGTTTAACGTGCAATTGGTATCTAGTGCATAAATACTACATAGCTTAATGGCTAATTAATTATCTTATTCTTGGTGTAGATTACTGATATACTGAAGAGTGGATTTAAAGAAAAAATGCTGTTGTCTAAGACATCTATGACTTTAAATAGTACAGTTTTCTTGAAGTGACTGCATCAGAAGCATCTTTCAGCCAGCCAAGCCAGGGTGAATTGTACCAGTATACAATTAGGTAAAGCTGTCAGGTAAATTTGAAAGCCTGAAGATGAATCCAGATGATTGATATTTGGATCCTTTACCACCATTATCACAGATTACTACATTCAAAGTTTATGCAGCTTTTTATGAAACCCTTTGGTCCAATAAGCAAACTTGGAAGCTCCTCCATTCTCCTCACATAGTACTTTGTTTACATCACCGATATTTCTGCCTCTATATCCCTGGGAGCTCCTAGAAAAAGAGGAATCATTGTCTCTCTCATCTCTGTGATGCTTACGCTTGGACCAACAGAGGACATCCATGCTGATAGAATCTGGAAACTTAGCCCCAAAGTACCAGAGGGAAATAAAAGACAACCGTCAGACAATTATGTTGAAGGATGAATGGGGAAGGTGCATTAATAAGAACTCCCAAGGCTTTATGCAGAAACAAACTTCAGGGAAGTCGCTGGGAAGGAGACTCTCTACTCTACCTAGCAAAGCTTAGAAGTGCTGCTTCCTAGAACAAAATGTAATAGGGACAGTGCGTACAGCTCCAGAATTTGCTTCCCGTTTCCTCGTCACCTGCCCTCCCTGCTGGCTTAAGCAGAGCCTGTCTTCATTGTCCAGCTTTCTTCTCACCCAGTCTCAGACTGAAGATCTCCTTAGTTTCTTATATCGTTGCTAGGAAATTTTCATCCTCCAAGGCTCCATGATCGTTTACTGCAAGGCTAAAGCTAAGTTAACTGGTGACTTTGGCATGGCTAAGTTCTAGTAGAGGTAACTGATACGGAGTCACACTATAAATTACTCATCACGAGGAATACTCTGGACAGGAAATGGCTTGCAGTGACTGGTGTCTCACTGTCCTCAATTAGGAGCTGCCTGATGGCACTGTGCTCTATATCTTAAATCATCTTTCACTTGGTGGACTGCTCAATGCCGGTGTTGTCAGTGACCATGCATCAGGTCTTTCAGTAGATGATTCAGATTAAATGTCTTGATTTCCCTACCAGGGTTTTGCAGTTTCAAATTTATGGAGTCGGTCTTTAACCCTGTATTTGACAATATAATAAGCCCTAATCTTTGTTTCTGACAGACCCACTCTAAAAAGATCATATCAATTTCATGGGATCCAAGGTTTTTATAAGATCCTACAAAAGTCCCTTTCTCCCTAATTTCACTAGGTATGGGAGGAAACTTTTACCATGTCCACAAATAATTTCTAAATTGTTCAGTTCTTTTTAAAGCTCAATATAACTTACATTTGTCTAATTTGAAAAAGGATTGGAAATACAATTTTTCCCTTTGAAAGGAAATATTAGTAGTGCTTATACTTGGATACAAACTCCGTATATGCAAACACATTTTTAGAAGCAAACTATACTAATAGAAGCACAC